TCTCTCTCTCTCTCTCTCTCTCTCTCTCTCTCTCTCTCTCTCTCTCTCTCTCTCTCTCTCTCTCTCTCTCCTCATGAGAATCTTGACTCTGAATACATCCGCTGCTACTCAGCTCTATCCCTACTACTAACTTATGCGGCTACGGCCACCGCCTTCCCTCTCAGTGCAGTGCTGCCCAGCAGGGCTCTCGCGCGCATGCTGCTCGCGGATAGCGCACAAGCGCTTCAGCAGCACTTCCACACTTCTCACGAATGAACCTTCTCACTCGAAATGTGGCTGGCCAGTCCTTATATTGAATTGGACTGAGCCTCAACTCGTCTCGTCCCCGCCTCTGCTTCCATTGGCTTGACTTGGAACGGGTACCACATGCCCACAGTCTGCTTGCTTCAGACTGTCAAGGCCTGGTGTTGCTTTGTTTCCCGAATTTTCATTCAAGTTGGTGTGCTGCTGCTTGGGTCTTGTGAGTCACGCCTTTTCATCTGTGGAACCCATAACTTTAAATTTGACTTTTGACTGTGGGTTGTGACTCTTGTGACTTTTGACTGTGGGATGTGACTCTTGCCTCTGGGACACAACTTTTTTTGCCTGGAGAAGTGTCCTTTGCCTGTGGGACATGACTTTTCAATCTGACTTTTCAATATGAGACGGCGTGACTTTTGCTTACAGTGCAACTTTTGCCTTTGCCTTTGGGATGTGACTGTTTACTGGGTGGCTGCATGTTGGACTTGTTGACTCCTAAGGTACCTGACTGTTGTGGCTTTTCTGAAACCGGCCGACCTGGCCTTCCTTGGCCTGAGACATTGACCCTGAAATTCGAATTTGGGGTCTGCAATGTGGAATGCCTTTCAATATTTGTTATTGAATCTTTTTATGATTTGCTGGTGGAAAAGAAACCGGATTGTGATGCTCAGAAAATAGATTTGATCGAGGACCACAACGTCCATATGGGTCCACTTCTTCTTATCTAGAAGTTTAAAGAAACGGAAAAAAAAAAACAAAAAAAACAGACTGGGTTGCAGCGGAAATTGTGGGTGAAGCTGGCTGGTAATCTTAGTACCTGGCTAGAGATCAGCATGTGCTGATTGATTGCAAGGGGACTCCCAATACAAAGAGAAGTGCAAACCTGTAAAAATGGAAGAGAGAGGGGGCACAAACGAGAGCAACGTACATTAATAAAAGAAAGAGAAAGGGTTAACTTCAGTACAGTCACAAAAACAGTTTGAAACTACGCTTCGGGGGCAATGCCCCGAACACAACACACCCCCACGCAACCCTACCTGACCAGAAAGCTAGCCTGTATACATTGCCCAAACTGCAACTCGAAACTGTTTTTTGCCCCAAGTGCATTTTCAAACTCTTTTTGTGACTCCCGCGTAGTTTCCCGTAAAAGAAAATTTAAATGAGAACTTTCAAGAGAGGCATATGGGGGGGTGAGGGAAGGGTCATAGGTTAACGAGATGGAGAAGAGGGGCTCTCATCATGCTTACAAGGTCAGCTGTCTCCACAAATGGTTAACGGGGACCCCCATTTTCAGGCCCTGGGTAAGAGTCCAAAACTGAAATTAGGGTTTCACCGTTTTGAGGTCAAATTTTATGTTTCTTTTTTTTTTTTTTTTTGCCTGTTYTTGTTTTGGTTCAAGGTTGGTGTGTGCCAAATTTTGTGTCATTTGGAGAATTGGAAATTCCTCTGTTAAGATTTCTGAAATTTCTCAAGATGGGCTTTCATAAAAAAAGGAAAAAAAAAAAAGAAAAAAAGAAAGAAAGAGATGTTGGCGAAATTTCATGAAAATGCACTTTTGCCTTGCTGTTTTTAAGTGTTTTATATGTTTTGTATTATTTTTTTTTGGATTTTTTTTTGCAGTTGGTTAGAATGGTCTCCACACTACGAATTGGTGGCAAGTTTGATTTAAATGACCCTTTGGTTTTCATATAAATGGCATGGCAAGTGGTCTGAAAATTAGGGTCTCCGTTAACCTTCTCTCGTCAGCTGAAGAAGATTGTTAAGAACAACAAAAGCATCTAAATACTAGGAGCGTTCAAAAAGTTACGCCTAGTACAAAAAAAAAAAAAAAAAAAGGTTATGCCAATCACTTGGTTCAGATGTGGAGGGCAGAAATTAATTACCAATTCAATGAGTATGATCACAAACTTATTGAAAAAAAAAAAAAGGATGATCACAAACGGCCATCAAGAAATCTTAAAACGACAACAACCAACAAGAATGACAATCGTAAAAAAAAAAAAAAAATCTTAAACCGACAACAACCTACAAGAACAACAATCGTTTAAAAAAAAAAACAACAACAAAAAACAACGACAATCGGTACCCGGAATGGTAATCCAGTAGAAAATAGATTTAGAATCTGAGATACAGTAAAAAAATAGAGAAATATTCTGAAATAGAACATAGACAGACTGCGGCAGAATAGGCGAAATATATAGGAAGAAAGAAAGAAAGAAAACAACATATATAGGCTGTTTTTCGGTGTGCCCAGACACACCACTGGGCGCCCGGCACGGGAGGACCCCCAAGCGGGGTCCCAGGCGGAAAAAAAAAAAAAAAAAAGGAGTTCTGGAACAAAATATATTGTGTAGAATTGCAATGCTGAGGGTATGAGAATCTCTGCTATTGTCCCTTACTTTTCAAAGGCACTAATTCTGAAGCCGGCGCTGGCTGAGCTACTGTCTGATCCGTCCTCTCGTAAGGGTCTGATGAGATGGTACTTCTCTATGTTGATTCAATCATTCTTAGCTATCCGCAGTTTTTCGGAGAAAAGGAGCCGATATCAATTGAGGATTATAATCTCGGGAACGATTCGGAGGAGGTTTGATGGTAATGCAAGGAGGCAACTGGTGGTTAGGACTACGTACGCTGAGGTGCTTAGCAAGCCAGGAGGAATATGCCTTCTTTGTGCTAAACAGATTAATATGCAAGCGGATGCTAATGAGGAATGGAGAAAGATGGTGGTTCAGAGAATGCGGGTGGTCTGGCTGAGGAACAAGGAGGTTGGAGAGCTCCTGTTCAATTTTCGGTCATGCGCGCAAGAGTCATCACCTGAGTGAGTGCGTTTGTCAGGATTTTTGGGACATCTTTCCAAAGGTAGATAACCATGTATGCTTTCAAGTTAACGATCTGGAAGGGGCGCCTAAACGTGTTTGAAACAGCAGGAATGTCGTGCGACCGGCTATGGTGGATGTGATTGGGCGATTGAAGAGACAGGTTATGACTTCCTTCCGCAATTTCGATTTCGACATACCTGAGGTTCGCCGGGAGGATCTTAAGTGTTGTCTGAGGGAAGGGGTGAATGCGGATAAGGAGTGGTGCGCTGAGGAAGAGACGTGCTCGCATGGAAAAAGCAATTGGGCGGGTTGGTGATAACGCCGATTGATCATAACCCGGGTGACACATTGGTGTGCTGCCCGGTTAAGTAGTACAATAAAAGGGGTATGCGCATATTGTTTTTGGAAAACGCAGGGTTCGTTATCCGCGAGGAAGAAGAGAGACCCAGTTGATGAAGGAAGCCAGGAAGAACTATTCTGATTTGGGTTTTGGGGGGGCTGGCTAAATGGGATAACGGAGGAAGGATGGGTAAGGGCGTGCGCGGTATACCTAAACACAAGGATGTCAATAGATGGCGTGTGATAAGCCAGGATCCGTACTCAGCGGTTTCCCGTACCCTTAAGGGAAAATCCCATGTAAGCCTCAAATTACGGGTTCTAGGTGATCGGGAAGAGCGGGATATATTTTTCTTTTCGTTTTCTTTTTCCCTTTTTCTTGAAAAGAGAACTGCCCCCGATGACTTTTTCGCGCGGTCAGTTAGCGACCGCGCCGAAAAATCCAAGAAACAGTTAGGAACTAGTGTGGGTGGGAATTTTGATTTTTGCGCGCGCGGTTGTTTTCCAATTTTTTGTTGTACGCCGCGTAAAACCCGTTCCCCCGCTTTGCATCCCCACACCATCTTCCCTTCTTGCATGCCTCTTCGTCATCCCTCTAACGAAGTCCGATCCTCTCCTTACCCATCATCGCGAGCGATTGGCTGTGTGATTGGGATGGTCGGATCAATGTGGTGAAAGCGGGAAGCGCACACCACTTGATCGACCACCCCAATCACACAGAACGTTTGACTCGCCTCCTTCGATCTTTCTGGGACCTTGGCCCTTCTTCTGTCCTGATCATTTACACCCCGCACTACCCACACCTCGCGCTGGCACCCTGCCGCCTTCTGTGCTATAAATTATCACAGCTCCTTCCTCTCGCTCTCTTTGATCTCGGCTGCAATGCTGCACGAGCTATGCACGAAGTCCACGGCGTCGAACAGGCTCGACGAGCCCAAGTGACAGGCGGAGTGACGACGTGGCGCGGGCTTAGCGATAGACTTGGGGTAAGACAGTTGGAGTGGCCGAGTTGTGGTGGAGATCGAACGCCGCCAGCAGCAGGGCCTTGTGGCTATGGTTGGCGGAGGTTCGGATTGATTGGGGGCTGTGCCTGAGGGAGGCTGGCCGAGTGTGAAATTTTGAATAGTGAGAAACTCGCTTTTATCTCCGTTGCTGCTTTGTCCAAGTGTGTTGTGTGCAAGGTCCCGTAGTATGGGTATTCCGTTGTATGCATGTTGTGGTATGAGATTCTATGGATGCTGAAAGTCTCACTGTCCAAGAGAGTTGGATGGGTAGATGTGTGGGCGCTTACAGGCGCATTTCGGGGGAGTGCTAGGTGTCGACCGTCTGCATGGATGCATGATTGTGTTGGATCTTCCTCCCTCCCCGACCCTTTTTTTAATCTTAACGCCGCATATGTGCACGAGATTGGCGCCAACATCGTCCCTTTCTCTCCCCCTTCCTGCATGCAGGAGATCCGGGACAAACTGGCTGGTGTCGCCCCACGATTTACAATCGATAACCAGGGAGATCAGTCGCTCGCGTCTTCGCAACGTGGCTGATATCTCCACGACTCGACAGAGCCCCGCATCCCCGACCCAGCATTCAGATTGGAGGAGAGAGAGAGAGAGAGAGAGAGAGAGAGAGAGAGAGAGAGGCGGTTTTATTGATCTTTGCATGGGGTCGACGCCCGTCTCGACAAACGCAAGCGCGGATGCGCGGGCCCTTGTCCGTGCTTGAAATTGGCATCGGTCCCTCGCAGCGTGCTGCCATCCTACCCGATCGCAGACGACGATAGCGTGTACTGCGACGCGGACGTGTGGAGCACTTTGCAACGAACCGAGCAGATTCGTCTGTATAACCCCGCTAAGTCCTGCCACATAGGAGGGAGTGGGTTTGTGTTGATTGATCGGTTCTCTTCCCCTCCCCTGATACTGCCCTACACCGATCTGACTGTGTTGCCCTGGTCCGCGGCCCACGCCACGTGGAAGCCTCGGTTTAACTGCCGCTGGTGTCGCCGGGGGGATTCGTGCTCCTGGCGAAGACTAGTCCTGGGATACGAAGGTGCGGCCCGGTTCCCTGAACTCTCCCGCAACGTGGGCGCGCTCCCGGCTAGCTTTCGGACATGGATTCCCTTGGCTCACCCGACACTCTGTGACACCACGCTAGGACACCCGCGCGGGCTTGACGAATCTGACACCGAGGCCTGAAGATTCTATATTCTTGAGTGACCGCCACCAAGTTCGCGCGAACTCGGCGCCAGGGGGAGCGGTAGAATTCCACTCCCTTGTTCTTTTTTTTTTTTTTTTTTTTTTTCTTTTTTTTTTCCTTTCGGGTTTTGCTGATGGTCGCTCCGGAATAATCTTTCTCTCTGTCCCTTGCCCTCGACGACGGTTCGAACCCAGGAGGACAACACCTCGGCCCGAAACAAGAATCTCCCGTTCCGCCCGGGGCGATTCAACCCCACCGGCCAAAAATCCTCAGCCACACCCCCAATTACTCTGATCGCCACTTGCAAGTACAGGACGGTGCGCGGGGTGTGAGGTTTGCGCATCACTCGTTTTCGGAATGCAGTGTGCGCCCAGGTAGGAAGGTTTCTCAGGTTATTAACACTTCTGGTCTGGTAACTCCCTAAGTACTCTGGTCTGGTAACTCCCCAAGTACTCAACTTTAATTTGAAGCGCACGGACGGACCCCCTAGTTGAATCATTGGAAGGGCTTAATAAGAGCTTGAGTAAGAAAGGAGGCATTGTTGACCGCTGCTTTTGACGTGAAGGGGATGTTTTGCAATCCCCCCCCAGGGGTCGATCATCATG